AAAAAAAAAAAAAAGAAAAAAAAAATTACATAATGTTTGTGATAAGAAAAGTTAACATATTTATATATTGTTACCTAATTGTTTAATCGATCTCTATTCCCATTTATATTATAATCGTAATATTTTATATTAAATACAAAGTATATGTGTGTTATGAAATTTTCGAACCACGATAAAACATACAATAACTATCATTCGTCATACAGAAATCGTATTGCCATTGTGATCGTTGATCCGATCGATACGAATGAATGAAATCGATAAAGATATTAAGGATAGATAGATTAAGACATGATATTTAAGGAAAATTACAAAAACGGTTCCGTTTTTCATTAAATCCGATTAATACTACCGATGAACAATTCTTAATAAAATTATGTATTAACTTACTTACTTACGAACCAGCCAATTGGCCAGCCATCTATTGGCGCTCAAAATGGCGCCGAACTATTATTATTATTATTATTATTATTATTATTATTATTATTATTATTATTATTATTATTATTATTATTATTATTATCATTATTATTATTATTATTATTATTATTATTATTATTTTTGTTGTTATTGTTGTTATTATTATTATTATTATTATTATTATTATTATTATTATTATTATTATTATTATTATTATTATTATTATTATTATTATTATTACTATTATTATTATTATTGGCATCCTCGACTTCTAACGATCGAAACGTTGTACGAGAATTGTGAAAAAAAGGAAAAAAAAAGAAAAAAAAAAAAAGGAAAAGAAACGTTCCCATGGATTTTCAACGCTCTCGTATGTCGTTGCTTGTTACGCTATCTCACAGTGTCAATGAAAAAACTTTTAATAATTAGAAAATCGATCGATCGATCGATCGGATTTAATTCTCGTACTACGATCTTTTTTAATCGCACTTTTCAAGATGGCCGAGTATCGATCGGATTCGAACGCTAAGAGAAAGGAGATCATGGGAGATATGATTCGAGATCTTCCCCTCTTCGAGTTTAGAACGAAAACGAATTTTTTCTACGAAGTTAATAAAAAAGAAAAATTAACAAAAAAATAAATAAATAAATAAAAACAAACCAAACAAATAAAACGAAACGAAACGAAACAAAACAAATTGGGGACCCACGCGATGAGAAATATGTATAACGCGTAAGGTTACTCACAGTAGACACAAGATACATAACATACAAGGTATAATCTCAACGAATCCGATAAATACACGTTCAAAGGGCTAATATCTTTCGCTGAATTCTTTCGAATTTTACGATGTCGCACTGTGACATCTGTGAAATGAAAGGGAAGAAAGAAGAAGAAAAAAAAAAGCGACGTACCGTATAGAGACATAGAAGAAGTACTACTATTATTATTATTATTATTATAATATCGTTGTTACGTGTACACAAAAGAGAGAGAGAGAGAGAGAGAGAGAGAGAGAGAGAGAGAGAGAGAGACGGAGAGAAAGATAGAACGAAAGAGAGAAAGAGAGAAAAATGAAGAAAAAACAAAAATCCGTATTGTATAAAATGTTTGAAAAAAATGAAAAAAAAAAAAACTGGATTTTAACATCATAGGATTACTATAGTTAATAAGGTGATCTCGACTACATTAATATTATTAAGTATTAAGTGAAAAAAGATACGTTATTAAATAATGCATACCGATAACAGCAGGAAAAGATAAGACAGACGATTACATATATTATTACATACTCGTATATACATAACCATATACCTATATACATATACCTACATATATACACCCATATACACACATTTAACACGTACAGAGTTACAGAATAAAGAAAACGAAAAAAAAAATATATATATATATTCGGTAGTCTCAGCGCCTAAAAGCGGCCTAGCTTTTTATTAAATACAGCAGTGATCCGTGGATGATGATAATTCTAATTAAAATCGAATGGAAATCGTTATTAATTAATATCGACGTTTAAAACGAAACTAGAGAGCGACATTAGGCTAGCGAAATGTACGTAAGTAGGCCATTTTTTCGAAGTCGAGACGACGATGACCGCGCGATTATTGGGAGAAAAAGAAAAAAGAAAAAATGAATTTTGGGAACGGGGTTGTCGGATTGATTTGAAATAGAAGAAAAAAGAGATATAATAAAAATGAATTGTTTAAAAGAAGAGGAAACACGCGTGTATACCATTTATGTACAACATAACGTATGTTTTCTCATACATTTCACGTTTTTGTATATAAATATATATATGTATATATATATATATATATATATATATTATATATATATTTATATGCATGCTTACAACCCCCTCTCCCATCGATTTGGAAAAAAGAAATTAGTCGACAAATTTGAAGTTCGTTATTTCGATTAAAATTATCTCTTCGACATATTTTTTGTTTATTATATATATATATGTAATAATATATATATATAATATATATATAATATATATATATATGTAATATATGTAATATTATTTAATTATGTTTCGCATGAAAATTCTTTCCTAAATTTTATTTTGATTCTATTGTGATTTAATTCGCCTTATTGAAGAAGAAATAAAGAGAGAGAGAAAGATAGATAGATAGATAGATAGAGAGAGAGAGAGAGAGAGAGAGAGAGAGAGAGAAATAAGAGAGAGAGAGAAAGAGAGAGGGGGAGAGCGAGACAAATACTCTCGTGTATCTGTGTGTTCTTTCATTAGATCATTTATCTTCTTATTTTTTTCCTTTG